CCTGGACCTCTCGGTCTCACGGTCGTTGATGATCTTCGATTCGGTGGTGGAGGAAAGAGTCGGCATCATGGATCAGGACCTGAGTCCACCTCCTGAGTTGTAAAACGACCTTGCCTGTGACTGAGATGCGAGATGCGATTGAGCTATGAGATCTGGAAATAGCTGCAAGATCTGTGAGAAAGTGAGTGAGAGATCTCACAGACCAGCTCTGAGATTTTGAAGGAGCAATCGTCGATTATCTTAATTGAGCCTCAGAGCTGGGTTTATTTTGGGCAAAAGGGCAAAATAATAATCCAACATTGCTATTAAATTTAAAAAATCTACAGTTGTCAATTTTTGGGTTTATTTTGGGTGTGTTTATATACAGTAAATAGTATAGGGTATATTTATAGTTTTATGTCTAGAAATTGGTATTTTACTAATTTTCTATACATTTTATGTTAAATTTAGTCATGTGAGCAGCACATGCTACATTTGTGGGGGTAAATAAGACTTTTGACCTATTTATCACCCCTTTATCACCACTTTATCAACACTTTATCACCTATGTATCAGTGTATCACCACTTTATCACCTATTTGGGGAACATAGGACAATTATGGACAGTTTTACCCTTACATTTGACAGCAACATTAGCATAATTTAACGGTAGGATCAATGGAGCAATTAATATAGAGTTGATGGACCATTTGAACGAATAATTTAATTGAGGGACCAAAATGTAAATCGGGTATAAATTTGAGGACCATTTGAGTAATTTACCCAAAAATAAAATACACCAAATTGCGTACAAGTTAGTTTGCTCATATAGGATTACATGGTTAATATTCTATCACGAAACATAAGTTATAGCATCAGTGACATGATCAAGTTTGATTTCCTTAAATTTTGTTCAAGAACATGATACCATATATACATATTTAAGGAAATGAATCAACTTAGAAGTATACATAGATTTTCAGGCTTCTTGGATTCCATACCACTAAGCTTGCAGCCATAATCATGCTCTCGGAGGAAGCCGTCTGAAAAAAGACTCAAGCCAACATTGATGATAGCAAGCACAGAAAAAACTTGACATTATCTAGAGCTATGGGTGCACACTTAATCGTACATACTGCATCTTGTACTGCCATGCTCAAACCAATCCAATGAAATAAGTGCTTCCCTATGTCTATGCACTACAAGAAAATGGGCTTTAGTTGACACTTAATAGTTGACGCTTTTTGCAAAACCATCACCTCTTCTATGAAGCTTTGACGCTTTTTAAAAAGCGTCAACTACACAGCATGTTTTCATGACGTTTTACCTGAAACGTCAAGTATGTATCACATTCCTTGACATTTTTATAAAGAGCGTCAACTCTATATCACTTTTCCCTGACATTTGAGAAACAACGTCAATTAAAACCCTTATATATCTGACACTTTAAAAAATAAAAGTATAAACCGTCAAGAAAACATACTAGTATTAGAACAAAAAAAAAAGGGAATAAAAAAAGAGGGAAAGCTGGTAGGTTTCTCTTTCAGATCCCAAATTCACTAACTGTGTTAGGGTAGGATTATTTTTTAGATTTCACCCTCGCGCTCGCCTCACTGTCTCTATCTGCAGCTCTCTCTTCTCCATAGCTCTCCCTTCGTTTCATCTCTGTAGTTCCATGGTCTCTCAATCTCCTTTCCAGACTTCGTTTCAAAACCAAACTTAAATACCCAAAATCTCAGCCACAATCGCGCCCCTTTGCTCACATCAAATCTCACTGTCTCCATCCACAAATCGCCCCTTTGATTTGCCAAACTCTTATTGTCTCCATCCACAAATCGCCAGTTTGCTCTCCCTAACTCTCATTGTCTGCTCCTCTTTCCTTATCTCAATTCCAGAACTAAACCCTAAAAACTCTCATCCCCAATTTACAAAAAACTCAAATTCACCTTACTGTCTCACACTTTTATTATCACCTAGGACAAGGCGACAAGTGATTGATGATGAGAACCCCCAATTTGTTTCGTATAGTTCGCACCGAATGGCAAATACATTCTTGCACTTTGGATGATACTTTGGTAAGCCCAATTCTTCCTTTTTCTTTTTAATTATGTTTGTTGGGTTGTATTTGAGTGGCTTTCACTGCGAATGCTCACTTCAACATATAAAATTGAGCTCTTAAAAAGTCATGGGTTGGTTAAAGCTAAATGGAATAAATTTATGTTTTTGAATTTTAGGTTTAGGAGAGGAAAGTAAAAGCTGAGTAATTGCGTATTTTATCAGCTATTTTGATTAGCTTCATATAAAGTCTTGTCCAGACTCTGGGTATTTGTAACTCTTGAACTTTGTAAGTTGGGACTGAAAAACTGATGTTGGAAAGGGATCTTAACAATTAATTTTTTTTGAATGTTAAAGCAAGCACTATAAAAAAAATTGATTATTTGCGTCAGATTTGTTGTTTCAAGCAAGGACTATAGAAATATGATTATTATTATTATTTTGTTTTTGTTGTTAGTGTAATGAAAATGATCCAGATTCATACACTGGGTACAGCTCTAATTTGGCCAAATCCCTACACTCTATCAATTTTATTATTTTAGTTTCTTCATATTTTCAATTATTATAATGCTTAGATAATCCGACACTTCAGCATGACTACGAATTTCTCTTACAAGCCACATGGCTAGAACTTGTTTCACCAATTTACATTTTGATGGCAGGAACATCAGTTACTTGATCTTCTGGCCCTATTCATACAATCAAGGGTTTACTTCTTGATGGATTAATTCAATTAATTTAGTTATGGTATTTTTTAAAAGAATTTAGAGGCATTGGTATCTTGCTTTATTCAAAGTAGGTATGACTTTGAGGATAAATTTGTGACTTCTGTATGTGTAGGGTTAAGTGGAAAGCCTTATGGAGATACTGGAGTGCATCCTCAACCAGGGCAGCTGCATGAGCCTTTGGAATTGAGGCCAGGAAGGGGAGTTATCTGCTTTGTGAGTATCACTCATCTTGCAGCCCATTTCTTCTTAATGCTTTTTAAGGTCATCTTGATTCGCATATATTTCCATTGTTTTGGGTTTCTTTTCATATATATTTCTACTGTATTGTGTAGCAGTCTCAAAGAATATGCTACCTCGTCAATTTCATCCCATTGGGTGTTGTTTGGTAATATTTAATTTTCTTTTAAACCAGAGAAGTTTCTTAATAAATTATTGCTTATTTTTCTGAGACCTGAACTTCCTCTGCTCAACTGTTACTCCTCATTTTCCTATTATTTAGGCTCTGAGTTTTTCAAATTTTATTTTGAGTTTAGTTCTCTAACTTAGGTTGTGATGTGTGCATGTTCTGTTTTATAAAATCTAGATAGACCAATCTAGATAGTTCTTTAACTTAATTTAAATTGTTTTTCTTACTTCATTTAACTTTTAAGCATGCAGATGCTAGCATGACTTTTATTTTTTTTCAATAGACTGATTCTCTTCCCACATATAGAATGCTCTCTAGGTAGTTCAACCCACTTGGTGACACTTACTTTGCTTGAGAAATTTCGTACTTCATAATTTACTGAAAAATTATTAGCAACATGATAGTACTAACATGTGAAATGGCTATATAGACACATAAGAAGATATTTGTCTATTTATATACTCTTCTTTATGGATGATTCTAGGACTTATAAGTCTTGTGAAGTACTCGTAATATGTGTTTTAACCTGAGTAGGAATTTATTTCCATGCCACAAGAATTGTCCATCAAATTCTCATAGGTTTGTCAATAGCACTAGCATGCACATATAGACACTACAAGAACTTTGTTTCTTAATTTTGTTTCCTAAAGATTTGTTGGCATTGTGCAGATGAATAACAAGTTCCATTTTGGAAGCCCATACATCAGTTGATTAAGCTAGTCTCTCTGCCCTCTATATCTCCTTTTTTCTTTTTTACAATTCATATTCTACTTTCTGTTTTCAACCAGTAAAAATTGATTTTAGACATGGGCTAGCCATTGTCTTCTAAATTATGTGCAGAAAATGGTTGCATTTATAGAATACCCATGGGCTTCAAGTTGCATTTATAGAATACCCATGGGCTTCAAGTTGCATTTATAGAATACCCATGGGCTTCTAGTCACTGGTTAGTTGTTGATTTGGCATTGTATATTACTCTTGGACTAGTTGTTGATTTGGTTTAGACTTGGTTTAATTATCAGAGTGGTTGTTGGTTCACCAAAAAGATTTGGCTTAGTTTAATTATGCTTGGCATTTGAGGACCCAATGCTTGCTTTTATGGTTTATACATTTTATTGATCGTTTCATAATGCTAATTATGAACGTTTAGTTTCGTTGTGCATTTAAGAGTACACATTTTGCATATGTAATTCGAAAGTTTGTCGCTGAAATTTCTGAGAATTTGAAACTAGATTAAGCACACATTCCACGAAGTTCGTATATTTTCTTCTAGCAAGTCTGTCTATTAACCCCCCTTATCTGAAATTAATTGTTAAAAGTTCTGATTCATCTTTAATCATTATCTTACCCTTGTTGAATAACACTCCGCTTTCTAATTTTTATTTGAAGTTTGAGGTTTCAATTTCAATCGTGGGCTCTGATTTTACAGATTTTGTTTGTCAATTCAGTTTGGACAAAGCATATGTAACAAGGTAAGCATTTTTTATGTTAATTTTGAACTAGGTTCTAATTTGATTTCATTTACTAGGCTATCATTCAATACTTTTGATCATAAAACTTCTTTGGTTGATATTATCTTTGTTAACTTTACAGTATCTTAAATATCTAAGAATGTGTATGTTTAACTATGACGTTAGAGTGAGGACTTAACAGGTTCGTAATCTCATCACTATATATATATTATTAAAAATTAGAGATTATTTAAGGCTTCATCTATTATCAGAATTCTGTTTACTTTTAGTTCCATGTGCATTAATTTACTCTTTAATTCATATGTTTACATCTTAGCAGATTGATGTGATTAGTGCGGCTCATACCACAAAGGCAATTTTATGCTCATCAAGTGCTAAGGAATGTCAAGCTTCCAAGTGACAAGTTCTACATAGTTTGAGACTTACTGGATATTAGATAATTTGGTTCATTTCCATTTGTTTATATGTTTTTAATATCATTTGCCTATATAGTTGACATGTTATAACATTTTTGTAGTGCTGAATATTTATATATATATATATATAATTTATTTTAGTGGATGTGAGATCTGAGTTTGTTGTTTTATATAATTATTTAGCAATTTAATTATTCCTTTGCAATTAAATTTTTTTTTGGACAGTCATACTATTGTTGACGGCTAAAAACCATCAAGAAACAACTCTTAAGTTTATAAAAAAAAAAAATTGTTGATACTTAAAAAGCGTTAAGAGAACATAGTTTCCTGACAGTTTTGTGACATTTCATAACCGTCAGGAAATATTAAACATTGACGGATAATAAGCGTCAAGAAAGGGGGGTAACTTTTGTTGACACTGGTATTCCTGATGCTTTTTGAACTGTCAGGAAATGGCTAACGTGACGCTTTTTAGGTGTCAACAAAGGGTGTTTTTCTTGTAGTGATATCATCATGATTTTGAGGCAATAATTTTTCTGATGATTTTTTCTTATCTCTAACATCATAATGGGATTGAGTGGCATGGAGAAGGCGATGGGGATGTGGAGGAGAGGGGAAGAAATGAGGGAGGTGAGAATGATAAGGTTCAACTGACTTGGGCACAATGAATATCATTATTACCACCATAAGTTTATTCATTGCTGTAAGGCCCAAGCTTCAGTGATCACAGTTTGCTGGAGCAAGGTGAGAACAAATTTATTTTATAACTTAAACTTCTTTGGATGGGTTGCTTTCATAAAGTAGCTTTTGGGCATATAGAGTTAATACAAACTATAATTTTTTTTTTTGGTCGAAAATACAAACTATAATTGTTTTGTAAATTCTGAGGATATTTGTGAACAACCATTTAGTCCTGTGATACTTCTCTTTACTTTATAGAAGAGGTTCCAAATTCAACTTTTGGGGGTGAAAGGTCTACATTTGTTTGTGGTTGGACCAACTTGGAATTGCAGTCCTGCATAGAGAACTTTTTCGCTCTTTAACACCGTCATGTGTTGTTAGCAATTCATCAATATTGTCATACGAATTTCAACACATGAATTAGTAACACCAAATGGCGGCATTATCTTAACGCTAAAAAGAATTCATCTGGACGATCATTTGAATTTTTTTTTGTTAATATAACAATAACTTTCTTTTTATCAAAGCCAATCACATCAAATATGTCACATGAGCTAAAAAATTCATGAATATTTACAGGTTTACAATACTGATTTCTTATTGCGTCTAAAGGGCATAGGATTATTATTCTTTTCCTCAGCTTTTGTTTTTTTTGTTTTTTTAATATTATACAGCCCTTTTACATTTGCCTCTGAACCGTGACACTTTATTTCTTTAGAAACAGCTCGTGGTTTATACAGCCCTATATAATACACATAAGCCAAAATATATATCCCCATGGCATCATAGTTGTGTGTGTGAGAAATCCCCCTCCCCTATAGTTTAGCTCCCAAAAAAAAGTATATATTCCAATTAGGACTGAGGAGGGGCAATCCTATGGAGCCCCAATTCTTGAATCAAGGCATTCAAATCCTTGTAAGATGATCCACCTTCCTCCACGCTCTTTCTTGCCATTTCCCCAAGCGCCTTGGCTCTGCTTCTCATTTCCTCTGCATCTTTACCAACCATAACCTCTGTCACAGCCTTCTCTATATTTTCCTTCTTCACTCTATCCCCTCCAAACCTAGCCCATTTTTTAGCACCCTCAACCACTCTAACCCCAATTCCAAGTATTTCAGTCACCAATTTTTCGTTGTAAAACTGATCGGCGAACGCAGGCCACGTGGCCATTGGCACACCGGCAGTCACTGCTTCCATGGTGGAGTTCCATCCACAATGAGTCACAAAGCCTCCTGTTGCTTGGTGCTCAAGAATTGGCACCTGTGGAGCCCATCCTCTTATAACAAGTCCTCTGCCTTCAACTCTGTCCTCAAACCCTTCAGGCAACCAGTCTTCTTTATTTTCTTGATCACTCTTTTCTTTTTTCACTACCCAAATGAATTGCTGCCCTGAAGCCTCAAGACCCAATGCAATCTCAAGGAGCTGAGCATCATCAAACTTCACCACACTTCCAAAGCTCACATAAATTACTGAATTGGGTTCCTTAGAACTTAGCCACTTCAAAAATTCATGTTCATCTAAGGAGGCTTTGGGTCCTCTTTTTGCCTTATCTTCAATCTCCTTATTGCATAGAAAAGTAGGTCCAATATGCCAAGCCTTGATTCCCAAAAAGTTCCTGTAATGGTCAGCATAAGCTGGTTCAAGCTCATAGAAGCTGTTAACAAGAACCCCATGGCTCCTCCACTCAGATTCTGCAGCTGCTTTGCCAAAACTTCTCAATTCAGATTCTTGTTTCATGAAATCTGGTATTTGGTTTCCTGCAAGCTTGTGCTCATGTGGTAAGTTGGGAATGACAAGAGGTTCAGAATCAGACACTATGGAAAGGTCCATTTTCATCAAATGGTGTGAAACACATAAAGAGATGAAATTTGTGCCATGGAAAACAAGCCTTGGGATTCCAAATTTAGCAGCAACATCAGTTGCCCATGGGAAAAATATGTCAGCCACAAGGCAATTGGGTTGGTGATCTTTGAGGAGCTGCTCAAGTTGTTGAGCAAGCAAAGTTGTGGCCTTCAAGAATTTTTGGAGCTCTTCCTGTGTTTCAACCATGTGAGCATTCTCACACCCTTCTGGCAACCCAACCTCCACAGCTGGGAATTTGAGAGCAAGAACTCCGATTTCGAAACCCGAAAGTTTGCTTCTTTCAATTGCTTTGGAGAAGAGGGACAAATTATGAGGAGTAGAAATTATGGTTGTTTTGATGCCTTTGGAAGCAAATAGTTTGGCCATGTCTATGGTTGGTATCATGTGGCCATGACTCATATAGGGAAAGAAGAAAATGTGAGGCTGGATGGTTTTTTGATCCATTTTAAGTTGCAAGAGATTTGTGATTATGGAGAAGATGGTGAAGCTGAGAAGTAATGAAACTGCAAATCATTCAAGGCTTGACTGAAAGAACTGGTTGATAGAGTTGGTATATAACAGTACATTTGACCTGGAAAGCAAGTCTCATGGAGCTTAAAAAATTGTGTTTGGCTTGTTATTTCCATGGGATACAATTAGTTTAATCAGTCAACTATGAACAAAATCTTTGAATTTTAGTGCGATAAGGTATCAATTTTTTAAACGAAAGTTTGGGGAACAAGACATTGACTTACTTAATAGTTCTAAATCTTATAAAATAAAATAAAAAATGTTTAGAAGCCTTTGATGTGTTAAAAGAAAATTAATTTTTCAAATTTCACAATTTTTTATGCTTTTAGATGTTAATAGCCGTCACAAACTACCTATCGCTATCGATTGTAACGGTATTGTTTTTTCGATCGAATTGTAATGGTATTGTCATTTGTACTAATCAACATATGTTTTGGTAGTAAAAACTAATCAACATATAGTGAAACATTTTATTCTTCATAAAACCAAATCTAAATATAACGTTGTCATCAACCACTAAAGCTGGCTTGAGAGAAAGTAAAGATGCCACCTTCCATAGAGTTTGGGATAAAAAAGGAGATGCCCAGTTGGGGCAAATTGGTCCAAACATTTCTCTTTTATTTTAGGTTTTTGGTACGGAGTTTAATCATCTTCAAATTGTAACAAAGAGAGCAAAAGGAAAAATATATATATTGGTGGTCAGCATTAAGAAAAGGAAGAGTGGTTGCCTGAAGGGTTTGAACAGAGAATGGAAGGTAAGGGACTAATTATAAGAGGTTGGGCTCCACAGGTGCTGATTCTGGAGCATCAAGCAATTGGAGGCTTTGTAACTCACTGTGGGTGTAACTCTATCCTTGAAGGAGTGTCTTCTGGGGTGCCAATGATCACATGGCCTGTGTCCGCCGAGCAGTTTTACAATGAGAAGTTGGCGACTGAGATACTAAGAATTGGTGTTGCTGTTGGTTCTCAAAAATGGGCTTCATTAGTAGATGTGAAGAAGGAAGCCAGTGTGAAGAGGGACGCCATAGAGAAGGCTGTGGCTCAAGTCATGGTGGGTGATGAAGCAGAGGAAATAAGAAGCAGAGCAAGGGCACTTGGGGAGATGGCAAGGAGGGCTGTTGAAGAAGTGTTGGCGAGTCCTAGTCCTATTCTATTTGGGTTTTATTTATTTTACCTTTTGTGTAGATATTATGTAATTAGGATTCCACTTATTTCCTAATTAAACCCTACTAGGGTTTGCAACCTGTATTATAAATACCTCCTTTCGGAGAATGAAATATATCTGAAAAATATTCTACCATATTGTTTGACTTGGTATCAGAGCCTAGTTTCTGGTGCCTGTGTGTGTTGTGCCCATCCGTGTTCTACTCTGTGCCCTAAATTCTTTTTAGGGTTCTTGTGCCGTGTTCTACTCAGTGCCCTAATTTCTTTTTAGGGTTCTTGTGCCCGTGCCTGTGCTGTGTTTATCGTATCTGCTTTGTGTTGTGTTTGTTTCCGCTGCTATATATCATGGGTGATGATTCCATCGTTGTGACTGGTACTAGTGCATCTACACCGAAGGAGGCACGGCCCTCGCGTGATTACTCTACCCTGATTACATCTGACAAATTGGATGGCCCCAATTATGCCTCTTGGTCTCGTGGTGTGCGTATTACGATTACTAGTCGTCGTATGGCAAGTTGGATCAATGGGAAGAAGCCTGCTCCGTCTCAAGACTCCGCTGACTATACCGAATGGGAAGAAGATAATTGTCTGGTGCAGTCATGGCTTCTAAATTCCATGACTAAACCAGTTCGTGCCTTGTTCGAACATGGTGATACTGCTTTTGATATGTGGGAGGCTGCTCGGAAGACCTATACTGTGACTCAGAATAGTTCTCGTTTGTTTCAACTCCGACGGCAATCCATACTTATAAGTCAGAATGGTGAATCTGTGAAAGTGTTTTATGAAAAACTTCATGCTATCTGGAAAGAGATTGATTGTCTGCGTCCGCATGAGTTTAATTGTTCTACTGATGGGGCTCGTCGTCTGAAAGAAATTGAAGCCGATCGAGTTTATGATTTTCTTGGTGGGCTAGATCCACCGT